AAAAATGCCTCAAGAAAACGAACTTCTGCAGTGTTCCTAAGGAGGAATAAAGCTATTGTTTGTTTCATGGAAAAAACTCACATTTGTGGGGGTCTTTGGAGCTGCGTGTTGCACAGTGGTCTTGAGGTGGTGAACAGGAGTGGCAGTGTGAAGCTGAAGCCTGATCACTGGCTTGTTTCTTAGAGAATATGTGAGCAAATGGTCTGTTTGCTAGAAATACAAGATACCTTTAGTTATATCTGGAATCTCATTCTGCAGTTCAGATCAGTTGTTTTCCATGAGCCAAAACTGGGAGAACTGAGACTTTCCTTTGAGTCAGATCCTGGGATGTGACATGGTTCCCTTTCAGGGTGTCTGGGATCAATGACATGATCCTATGTCATTGATCTGTTAGTTTGCATCAGTCCAGATTTGTTTAGCACAAGGTTTGTGCTCTGCTTGCCTGCTCTTGAGGGAAATAGAATCATTTCTTCTGGGTGGATGTGGCTGGGGTTATCCAGCTGTATTGTTTGAGTCCTAAATACCTTCATCTTCCCTTTTGCTTTTGACAGCTGTGTTGATGCTACTACATTCCTTTACTTCAGCTTCTTTGCACCTCTCATCTATGTGGCATTCCTGAAAGGCTTCTTTGGGTGAGTAGCAAGAACGGGGGTTTAGAGAGTGACCACTGTTATTTGATCTGTGCCAGATTGTTTTCCAGCTGTAGAATAAAGGCAATGACTGCAATGAGTGGAATGCCATTTAGGGAGCCAATGTTTCATTCCTGGCTTACTGATTTTCTCTGTGGTCCTGTACTGGCCACTTCTATCCAAGGCTCCCCTGTGTGCAAGGCAGAACCAATAGTTGTATTTCCCTAAGCACCTCTCTCTGTCACTTCAGTGTCTACATCCTATTTGTGCAAAGTTCTGCTGCCGAAGTCAGTCACTAAATTAGTTAGTGAGGGACTGAGTCCTGGCAGATTAAGCTAGCACAAAGTGAGTCTTCAGGAGGTTTACTGGTTGAACAGCCCTTGGCTCGGGTTTCCTATACAAGGGCCCAGTCCCCAGCTGAAAGCTCTGTCCAGTGTTGATTACTGGGTTGGGTGTGCCGCCGTGTGGCCACTCAGGAGAGATGCATGTTGGTAGGAATTCCTTTTTGTAAGCTGTACGTTTTATTGTCCTTGAGCAAGAGACCTCAATCAGGCTTTAGAATAACTAAGAATAAGAAAGTACTCTTAAAATATCAAAATGTTTCTGATGTCTTTGAAATCAGAACAGTATCTGGAGATAGGGATAGAAAGTGCTGATTTGCAAGTGTTTGTATTTTGATTTTCCTGTTGCACACAGGTGGAATGAGAAATAGAATATTTTTGTTGTTTGCTGTGAAGTCCAGTGTTGCCTGGATGCTGCTCTCAGTAATTCAGAACTCAGAAAGAGGAGAACATGCTTGTGACACCGATGTCAGGACTGCTGTTTTTATTTCCCCTAGGCAGCCTAGTCCACAGCTACAGTTAGCATTGTTCCATGGCAGTTATTCCACTATGATTATATCCTGACTGAAAGCAATAGGAAAAGTTCTTTAATAGTTAAATACACGCTGTTTCAGTGCTACTGAGTTTCAGTTAAGGGTAAGTGGCTGTTATGAGATACTTTGCTTAAATGTGTATTTTAAATCCTTAATGACTCCAGGTCTGAGCCGAAGATCCTTTTCTCCTACAAGTGTCAGGTGGATGAACCTGAAGATGTGGATGTGCACCTACCCCATGCTTATGCTGTTGCCAAGAAGGAAGGAATGGATTCTGGGTTCTACTCAAGCACTCAGATTGATACCACAGCCTACCTGGATGACGTGGCCTCTATGCCGTATCACGTGGGCAGCATCAACAGCATAGACAGCGATCGTTGGAAAGCTATCAATGCCTGAGGCAGGGCTCCCCCCTGCACCTTATGAACTCCCTGATGCTGAGGATGTTAGGATATCCACTGGAAATCTGTTCATCGCTATCTGCTGTGGCTTTCCTCTTTTCCTTAGGATTTCTGAAACCTATCGTGGAACTAAGCTGGCAGCCTTTTTGGAGAGAATATTTCCTGTCACTGCCTGAGAGCAATCCAGAACAGTCCTGTTCATAAACCTATAAACACTGAACCTTCCTGATTCTTTGTGTTCCAGATGTGAATGTGGCCCAGAAGGACAGGCCTGATCGGCGCCTCCTGCTTTTCAATGACTGACAGCACTTGTCTGCCAACTAAGGGAAATGTTGTTTAGAAGCTGTTCATTTGACTGTGTATTCTACACACACGGAGAGAGTTTGGTGGTTTAAACCAAAGTTTGTGTTCCTGGGCTTTCTCAGGCAGCGCAGTTGTCTGGATCTTATCACAACCATGGATGGGTGGCAATAGATTGTCTCAATGGTGAAGCTGCTCAGTTGGACTCATCTCTGGTTTCAGCTAATGCTAATGAAAACTGTGAATTGCAATTGTTAGGAGTTAAAAGTATTGCAGTCTGAGTGTGTAGGAAGGAGAAAAGAGGTGTGAAGAGAAATGAGCTGCCCAATGTATCCTAGGGCTGCTCTGGGAAGCACAGCTGGTATCTCGCAGCACCTGTGTGAGCTGACACAATAACAGGGAGGCAGGACAGGCAGCTACTGCCCAGCAGAGCTGAAGTAGTTATGAAACAATCTGTGGAGGCTGCGCTGCTGTCCATCTGAGCTCACAGGAGCATCTCAATAACAGCACTGAAGCGGGGTGAAGTTTCAAGAACACAGCATGTACAGTAGGTATGTGTTACGTCTTCACCATGCTTCATGGCAGGGTCATGAAGAGGGCTGTGAAGGAAGAGGCTGTCTGTGCTGATGAAGGCTTCAGAGATGTTCCGATGCCTGAGGCAGAGTAGAAGCTGATGAATCTGAGCTGTCAGTGTCCAGTGACTGGGAGTTCTTAAACACCACAGGCATCTTAAGATCAAATTGGCCGGTGTTCTAGGTTGGGTGGGAGGTGGATGCTCTGGTAGAACTGCTGTGGCAGTGTCCTCTTGTGTTACAGTTCAGTTCCCCAGACTTCTAATGAGCTTAATAGGCTTTTCATCTTGATACATTGAAAATACTTAGGGGCATGTGAAGTGTGGTTCATTTAAAAGCTGTCTGGAACTTCTTAGTCTCTTCCACACTGGAATAGGGACTGTTGTCAGAGCTGTTTCACATGCGGTTCCAAGACAGTTTGTTCCAATTCGGGGACTGTTGAGCTGATAGCTGCAGTAAACTGGTTTCTGAGACAGACTGTGCTGTCCAAGAACGAAGAGGTTTATTCTTCTAGCTTTGGGGAAGTCAGCTTTGGGGGAACCTACCTGAGTCATCTGGGTAGGTGAAGATCTGCTGTAGGCAATAGTATCTTCCCATTAGAAAGAGTAGAAAGAGGGGAAATGTGAAACATTTTGGCACTGTGCATCTCTTGCCCCACCTCACTGCTGTTCCTGAAAAAGAATACTGGGGTAAGAGTTCCTGGGGAAATCATCACGCAGGGTGCAGCATGGAGGTATCAGTTTAGAATCATGAGTGTATGCAGCAAATGCATTTCCCACTGTAGGGAAATAAATAGTTTAGATAAGAACACAAGGTTCCTGTCAGTTGACAAAACTATGCAGGCCCTTCACTTATCTTTTATTTCGTTAATGAGCAATGCAGCTTCTCAGTTCTGCAGCCTGGGGACTTTGCCCTGCAGGCTTCTGGGTAGCACTGACACCATTAATAATGAAATTCTTTAAATTCCACAAAACTTTTTGTTTTATCAAGTGAAGAAAAAACTTCCACGTGTGAGAGCTGGAGCGTCTAGCCTGCCACATTTCTCCTGCTGTAATGACTATGGAAGGGGTGGACAAGCAACTGGCCTGGCCAAGTCGGTGCTTGCCACATCAGAGAAGTTTCTGTGCTCCTCCTTTTTCTTGCTGTGAGTCTGCATCAGCCACGTTTTACTTGTGAAAGGGATGGATGATGTGGTGCCTGAATTGCCTCGTTGCTGCTCTTACTGTGGCTCTGATCCTGAGCTGCTGTTAGCAAGCATGGGGAAACCTGCAGAGCTTCCCTAGAGTCTGTTGACCTTGGACAGGTCTGAAAGACTGGAATGTCTAAGCAGATCTGCTGTGCAGGTGGTCAGTGTGTCCACACTGTCCTTCGCCAGCAGGACTCCAGTATTTCTGGAGCTTCCCATGTTGCTGGGGAGCTTCTGTGCTAGGTCACGGACTGACCTTCCTTCTGGTGTGTTTCTATGTATATAAGGCTTTGGGCTGTATTCACAACAGGCCTTGAGCAGAAGTGTGTTGTGTGTGGGGGGTGTGTAAAGAGTCTAAATATAGAATAAATGTATATTTTTGTTTGTAAAATAAAGAAATACAATGATGTTTGGCATAAATGGTTATACTTTCTTAAATGATTTGTGTTGTGGAGTATTAAAAAAAAAAAAAACAAGCTTAGCAGATATTAATGGAGTTACATGGTGCCTTTTTATGAGACAGAATTTTCCCTTTCTGGAAGCCTAGGACAGCAGGGATGTTCATGTACAACAGTTGAGTTAGTCTTCCGTAACTGGATCCTGCTGTTCCCAGGTGTCTCCAGCACTGGGGGCTCTGCTGTAGGCAGGGTTTCTTCCTTAGGAAAAAGCCTGTGTGGTGAGACTTCTCGTTCTGGGCTTTGGGATGAATGGTGATGGGCTTTTTCAGTGCCAACAGCTGACGCTGCTCTGTCACGCTGCACTCTTGAGAACTCCAGCAATGGGGAAAGTCCTCAAAGAATTAACACAAATATTCGCCGCTTGCAGGACGAAGCAGTAGGACGGGGCTGTCTGCCGGCCGGAGCAGGGAGCTCTGGATGTGCCGTGTCCGCGCAGGACGCGCTCGGACGTCCCCGCCGCCGGGCTGCCGCCTCCGGACCACAGCTCCCGTGGTGCCCCGCGGCCCGCCGCCAGTACGGCGCCACGCGATTGGCAGCCCCGGAGCCGCCCGCCAATGGGAGCCCGCGATGTTGGCCGGCCCCGGCAAAGGGGAGGCGCTGCTCGGCGCGGGAGGAGAGGCGTCCTCAGCGGCCGCCCCGCCGGCATGGGGGGCAGCGAGAGCAGCCACGGCGGCAGGAAGGTGTCCTTCGGGCTGGACGAGCGGGAGCAAGTCCGGGTGCTGCAGGGCATCAGGGTGAGGCGCTGCGGAGCGGCGGGCCCGGGCACGGCTTTGCTCGGGGGGACGCGGCAGCCCCGGGCCGGCCTGCGCCCATCTCAGCGCACCGTGTGTGCGGTGCGACTCCGCGCCGAGCTCCGTGTGCCCACGGCCGCTGTATTTCTGTTTGCCTTTGGACGTCGTTCCTGGGTGATGGGCGCTGTGTGTGTGCGCAGCCTGCCCTGCCCGCGGGCTGAATGTGAAGGCTGCGTTCTGTTTGGTTCGCCTCCAATGGGCGCTGCTCATTTGCTCTGTATTTCTATGGAACAGAATTATTTTGAGATATCTACTGCCTTTCAGGTTGAAATTGGGCAGGTGTGGCTCTTAGTTTGTCTGTAGGCTGGAAGTTTTATCGCCAGTTTTCTGCTATGGCCGTCTGCTCGGTGGATGAAGAAAGGTGCTGGCTGCAATCTTTTGGGACTCCTGTATGGCCTCAAATGCCATCCCTCATGAGGAGAACAGCAGAGCACCTTCACTGTAAATGTGATCAGGCTTCCTAGCAAGGTGATTGGTGCCTCACATCTGTCAGTGTTCAAGAGGCACTGAGATAATGCTCTCAGAAATGTGCTTTAACTTTTGGTTAGTCTTTGAGTGTTCACACACAGTTGGATCAGATGTCTCTGATGGTCCCTTCCACCTGAGCTTTTCTGGTTTTGGAGCAGCTTAAAGGCTAACAAGTTAAATGCCTTTATCCTGACATATGTGTACATTAAGTGCTTAGTTAACTAACTTGAGTAATTGCTTTCTCATGTGTGTGTTTTAGCTCACTGAAGATGTAGTGAATCGGATGAAAGAATCTCAAAGTAAAAGGGACAGCCAGAGGTCACCCCACTTACCCAGTGGTACAGCTCAATTTTCAACAGCCGCAGAAGGGAAACCCAAATCTCCTACAGGTACTGCCGGTCCCTGCTGGGTCTACTGATTTGACACCTGTGGGGGAACTGTTAGGTCAGGGTTTGAACTGATGGTGAACACCTGGTGAAGGGGTGCGGCTGGCCCAGGGAGCACAGGCAAATTGTTTGCATCTGTGCTTCCCATGAGACTAGGAGGGGTGGACCAGTGTGGGGTCCCCCCTGGGCTCATATAAGCACCAGTCGCTGAATGAAGAGCATCTATTGGACCTAGGCTGCTTCCTGTGAAGGACTGCCACATAGTTATAGAGCCCCTTCACCACCTGGGTGAGTTCCAGTCTTTTTTCTGTGTATGACTGTTGGCCTACCTGCAAATACTTTTCCTGGTGTTCCCAAGAATGCTTCAGAAGCAATTTTGCTGCTTCCTGAGCAGAACAGCATGCTGCTTAGCACTTGTTCTTGTTATATAGCATGAATGTATCCTGAGAAGAGCCACTGAAATGCTGTGGTTCTAGTTCTGTTGCTGTGGGGCCTTAAGCAAGGCAACTTGTTTTTGTAGATCTTTTTGTTTTGTCTTTAGGATGCCATCGTTCTCAGATGCATTAAGAAACTTGTATGACTTTGTGAATGTAGAATTTCAGATAAACACACAGTAAGCAAGGCAGTAATTTTTTTTTATGTTATCTTGTTTCTTGAAACTTGTTTTACTGTCCCTTTTCCATGCACAGAGAGTATATAATGGATGGGTCGGGAGATGCTGCTTTTTGTTCTTTGGAAATGTTTGTTCTTGGAGGAGAAGCATAGACTAAACACAGGTTACACGATATGTCGAGCGAATGGTGAGAGCATGATTTCTGAATTTGACTTTCCTTACACTTCAGAAAATGATTTGATTTCTGTTGGTTCGCAAATATAGAAACAACTAGAAAATGCACTAAAACTATGCTTATGTTTCAGTATAAAACAGTGTTTGTGAGTAACATCCTACCCTAGACAGGTGTGTAGTATACTTGGTTCAGTGTGCCTTGCTGAAGACAGTGCTGTTAGTGTTTCTTTCTTCCACAAAGTCTAATTCCATCAGATTTGAATTTTCTTGAGAATTCTCTAGATTATTATTTATTGTCTTGATGGGATAGCACGTATTGAGTGTTCTTATCAGATGATTCAGGCTGTGTTTTGTATTACAGTTGTCAGTTTTGTTCTTTCTTTCTTTCTAGGAATCCAGCCACCAACAGCAAGTAACTCTGGTCAGAAGGCTACAGTTGCAGAGCAGGAATTATATAGGAGGTGAGGTGAAGTTTGAGGAAAAGAGTAATTTAGCTCCTTTTATGCTGTGAGATAGGCTAACTGCTTTTATTGTGGTGCGTCCTTTCATCTTGTCCAAAGCAGTATCTATTTATCTAGCTAACTACTTTCTATTATCACAATTTTTAGGTGATAATTAAGTACTCAACAGAGCTAAATATAACTAAATTACAAGCCTATATGGAGCTCAGTTTGCTGTTTTTGCCTGGGCTGTCTGTCAGTGAAAGCTGCAGGTCATGCTTGAAGTTTGTTGGACTTTTGAATTTCTGCCGATAACGGAGGGACTGTGAGCAGCTTTGTGCCAAATCGATTGTGCATTTGGGGTTTTGCCCTTGTCAAGGATTGTCCATGCTAAGCCATGACCTGGTGCCAGAAGTCAGCTGATCAACTTTTCTGTTTGTCTTTGGCACTCCTGTAGGTATGAGCAGGAGCAGGCCCTGGTTCAAGAGGAGCTGCTCCGGCTGGCCAAAAGAGAAAGGGAAGCAGCTGGTGAGGTGCTGAGTACTGCCCTTCAGCGGGAAAGGAGCAGCACCAATGAGGAGAGGAAGAGAGCAGCTCAGCTGGTGAGTAACGGCGTCCGCTACGTTCCCATGCGGGACTGACTGGAATCACTCTGCTTGAAGGGGTTCATTGAATGTCACTTGTATGTTGAGTTTAGAAACTGCTTTAGTCTGAAACACTGGTCTCCTCGTAACTCTACTCCTTGGCTTAGAGTGTAGTCAGCAAGCTGCACCAGTTGTCTCTCAGTGATTCTAAGGCCAGGCTTGCAGGGAATGGCACAAGCAATGACTGTGCTGAGAGCAGCCTGACCTGTGGGGGAAGAAGGATGAATGGTTAGTGTGCTTTGTGTGTATGGGCTTGTTATCTGAGACAGTGTGTTCTTTTAAACTGGCAAATGTATGAAACAAATGTATGCTTTTAAACTCTGCTGATCTGACCTGTCGTGAAACTTTGCTTTGTGTTCCTGGATTATGGTTGTGCAAGTACACAAATCTAAAAAAAAGAAAATCTTGGATATTTATCATCCTGGTAACAAAATGTACTGATACTTAATGCTCACTTGATACCATTTTATGTTGTGTTCTATTAAATACTGATTACTGTGCCAATGCTGTACTGCCTGTACACAGTACAGTATCTTACTGGAACTGCCACTTCTTCCTGACTTGCAGTGGGATGAGGTGTGACAGCAAGGTGGGGCTGTGCTTCCAGCTCTTGAGGTCAAACTGCCTGTTTGTGTAAACTGTGATGTTGAAAATCTTTGTTGAGAAAACTGGGCTGAGAATAATTCTCTTAGCCTAGTGCATACTGAAAGAACGGCTTAGGAAGAGGGGACAGACTTGAGCAATGCTTGTTGTCTCTGTGTTCTGTCCTACTGATCTCTTGCTTGCACTTGATTGAACTGAAGAATCTTTGTGTGTTTTTTTTTCTGTGTGCTGAATAGCAATAGGCACGGCTTGGCCAGGCATGTGATTTTTGCTGAGAAGCATTTTGAACTTACAATCATAGAACTGACTTAGGTTGGAAAGGACCTCAATGATCATCAAGCTGAATAATAATACCTGGGGGCTGAGTAAATAAAATTTAAGTGAAAATAACTGTGCAATGGTTTGGACAGAAGACCCTTCTGGCAGTAACCCATTTCTGACAGTAACCCATGGCAGATGCTTCTGGAGTGCATGAGAATAGAGCAGCCTTAAAGCAGTGCTTCCCACCTGTGTACCCTTGCAACTTCTGCCTTTCCGAGGTATAGAGACTTCTTTGATTAAAAGTTGTTTGATCACCTGGTGGTTAACAGTCGCATGCCTTCTGTGAATGTATTTGTGTGTGGGTTTGGGCCCATCAGTGCCTTCTGACCCTGTGTTCTGCAGCATGTGGCTGCATTTGTAGAGCTCTGAGGTTGCTCTTGAAGGCATAGCAGGAAACTTCTGCTTGCCATATTGTGCCCTACCCATGAGAAGTCTGCCTGCTTGTTGAGCTTTAGGATAGTGATGTCTGAGGCAGGCTGTTCCTCTGGGTCAGCAGACACAGAGTTAGCTCTCTTCCTACTACAAGGAGCCTTATGTTTATGAATGCCATTAGCAGCTCTGTAAAGAGAGGTGGGGGAAGCTAGTGGATTCAGTGGCCAGCCTAAAGATAAGGCGTGCCTCAGAAACAGAGGCCTGCCCTCCTGCAGTGGATACAGAGAGCTCTGAGAGCTGTGACTAACAGACAGGCAATAGTTGTGAAGTCTGAGGAAAGTACCTCTAAACTGAGCAGGGGGCTGACCTCCAACATACAAAACCTGTTCTGTTATCTGAATTAGTTTTTAATCCTGCAGTATCGCATGTCCAGGTACTGAAAACTTGATGTTGTGCAAAAATCTGATTAGACTCTTTCTGTGCAACCTGTAAAATGTAAGTATTGGCCATGCAGTCTGGTGCAAGACCAAGAAACTGTTAAATTTCATTGCTCTTTAACTATCTCTTGATCAGTCATAAATTTAAGACTCTTAAAAATGAAACAGTCCAGCCTGTCCTTCCAAAGATGAGGTAAAAGCTGCTGCTAGGTGTCTTGCGAAGCAGGAACTGTTTCTGTCAAGCTTTTAAAATTGTTAGGATCCCTATCAGGTTTGCTTTATCTCAGCTACAGTTTCCTTTCAGGCATGGTCACCTTATTCTGCTCAGTCCTGCTCGTATCTGCCCTTTGTCTTCCAGTATTTTCTTCCTTTATTTGGAATGGAGGTTGAATATTTTTGGTCACTCTTCTAGCTGTTTTCTAGCCCTCAAATATTAAGTAAATAATGGGTGTGAACTGCACTTCCATCTCATCTGTATCTGTCATCCCTCTGAGGCAGGAAAGAGTAGTGGCAGTAGGTGTACCTGGTGGTAGTCTGGATGCAGGTGGAATGGGAAATTCTCTGCTGTTTATAAAGGAAAGGGCTTTCAGTGTTCTTGTTTTTTGCTATGAGGGAAGCCAGAGGAAAACGGGACAACTCCCATGATGGAAATAAGTTGGTAATTTGCTTCTAACAGTGCTTAACTTTGTAACAATTGAACATCATGCCACATATCGTTAGGAAGGTTTGTTTTATTATTTCTACTTTGATGCTTGCAGTAAGATCCTGAGCTGTGCTGTGCCCTGCCTGTGTCACTTTGTCATGGCTGGCTTTCTCTGACAGTTGTCTCTGGCAGTGCTGCTATATTCTCCTTTTAACTTTACCACTTGTGGATCATAAATCCAAATACGATAGCTGTATTTTGAAATGATTTCATTTTGATTGTGCTGAACATAGCTTGTCGTTTAATCTGTTCTTTATGACTTCCATCCTTCCTTTTATTATTGGCAGGATCTTTAAGGCACTTCAGTGAGACTATGTATTGTGAAGTCCTGCAGAGAGCATGGCTAATGTTTGGTAGGGAACTTGCTGTCTGTTTCTGGGCCTTTCATGGTTTATAGGGTACAAATTAAAACTTGATCATCTTTTTTGTGAACAGTTCACTGGTTACAAAAGGATGTGGATCCTGTTCTACATTTTTCTCTTTTTTTTTTTAATAACTTTGAACAAGGTATTTAGGTTCTAGAGAGCTTAGGTTTTGACTAAAACTCTTTAATGCTTAAGAAGTTAACAACTGTAAGTAGAAACACTGCAGCATTGTCTTCACTTTGAGCAAGTGTGGCTTTTGGTGACACGTGTGGGACTGGCTCAGGCAGAAGCAGCCTGCTCAGCTGCTGCAGAACAGCTCTCACCAGTTTATATCAGAAAATGTTTTCTTTGTGCATCTCTGCAGGATCTCAGTGCTGGCTGGACTCTTCAGTAATTTAATACCACAAGTACTTGCAGGACAACAAGGGTGATAGGCAGGGTACTTCAGAGCAGGGCCTGCCCTGTGTGACTAATGCCTGTAGCATGCATGAAGTCTCATGTGCAATCCACAGGAATCAGTCTATCCATCTTTTTTCTGAACTCTAGTTTGAGAAACTTCTGAAGTTGTCACAGTTATTTAATTCCTTGGCTGTGTTGTGAATAGTCTTGCATTTTCCTAAACCTCGAATCATTCCTTTTTCATTTCTGATTAATCAAAACCTCATCTCTTAACTTCTTGCTGCTTCTGGCTTTTTTTTTTTTCTTACCAACAAAAGAAACTTTGCAAGCAAAGCTGCTCTTTTTTTTTTTTCTTTTCTTGGTTTTGTAATCTCCTAATGCTGTGCAATGTATGCACTGTGAGCTGTCGTCTCACAGCCGGTGACTCCCAGCCTGATGGCTTTTGCTGAAGCCTTTGAAACAAATCAATGTGGGATGGGGTTGGAGAAAAGCAGAAGCTGGTGGGGGGAATCCACACGATTAAGCGAAGACATCTCATTACTCCTCTAGAAAGGGAGGATTATAACTTATAAAATAGGAGGATCTCATTTAGGGGCCATGTGTGCCTGTGTTATCAGGACAGAGGGAGAGCAGATAGAATAAATGAAATTAATACTTTGAAAAGAAGCATTATGCGGATTTCAGAATCGAACTAATATGATTTGTGCAAAGTCCTGAAGTTCTTATCTCCCCATTTAATGCCCCTTGGATAATGGCTTTGTCAGAGTTATTGACCGAGGGTCATCGTCTTCCGTACCGCTTGGAAAAATGAACTCAGAAGTGGGATGATGGTAGGACAAACTTTGCACCATAATTAGCTGTTTCAGGCAAGACTGAAGGGCATCACTTGCTGTGCAAGAACAGACTGTTCACAGAGCCTGAATTGCTGGGAAGTCGTCCCTCGGGCTGCCGATGAGGGATGGCCGGCTGCTCCCAGCCCTGCTCTCTAGCTGGCTGGATGGCCGCCTCAGCTTTCTGGTGGCTCTTTGTGGTTTTGCTGGCCAGGAACGTGTGTGGGATGAAGTCCTTGCAGGCACCCATCCCTGGGTGTCCCAGCAGCCTATTTTAATTGGTCATAGGCAGCTGGATTCTTTTCAAACAATCTACTGCCCAGAAATAATCTGTTTGCTTTTCAGAGCCTCTCTTCATCCACCCCTGATTGGGGAAAGAAAGGTTGAAGGCAGAGTGCTGAGTGGGAATGCCTGTGGTTGGGTCAGCAAGTTTTGGTGTTGATGTGAGTGTGGGATTCTGAGCTTCAGGGCTTTGCACACAACATATGCTAGGTGTATGTGGTATGTACATGTTTAATGCATACCAGCTGGTATTTCCTTAGCCTGTTGGAAGGAATAATCCTATTGGCCCATTGGTGGAAAGGTTTCTTTGGTCTTCTGGTGACTGCTGAAGCTTCAAGCTCATCTTGCTTGTGTTCTTGCTTGTTATTGACCAGTGTTCCAGTTTAGAAGCAGCTGAACTGGAACTGAAAATGATTTTAGAAAGAGTGCTGAACCTGACTTAATTTCATTTGCTCTGTGTAAAGCTGGAGCTCAATTTCATCCTGGCTGGTTAACCCTTAAGCAGATATCTCTGGTTTACACTGTCATTTCTTACCATTGAGATAATGAGCTGTAATGACCAACTGAGCTCCTATAGTAGCACAGTGTTTGTGACAGCATGGGGACATCTGTGAGGTGAGGCTGTTGTTTCTGGGCTCAGGCCTCT